GCATACTCACCGGAGGAATTGGGGCAAAAACAAAAGTGTTGCGTTTATAATTTTGTTCAGTGTAAGAACACAGAAGAGGGTGGGCACATGAGGAACTTTCAGTTTAGGAGTTTGTGTGTGTCTTAGCTTAAAAGCACATTCAATAAAGTTTGCTTCAACATAGTTCTGTATATTTTGTACTGTTTTCTATTTGTGGTTGAACAACTTGTGTTATGAATAGCCATCCAACGTTGTGATGGTTCTGAGATGATCTATAGGTAACTCATCACTATTTCAATGGCTATTAAAATCACTAACACACATTTAAACTGTACATGCTAAAGAAAGAAGTTGAAAATACTGAGATGTAAAAATCTATAAAGACAAATACCTGCCAAATATCAGTGTGAACTTAATGCAGCACTGGTTGTGTGTTCTCCAGTTGATGCAAACTCTAAGTTCCATTGTTACGATGCTGCACCATTTGACAGCCCTCAAATATGCTTCTCTATTCGCCAACAAATGTTTAACCCCACATTTCAAAAAGCTACAATGAGAACATTGCTGGTGACACTTTTCTAAAAAACAAAAACAACAACACTACAGCTTATATATTTGGTTTAGATTATAATTTTCGAATTGTCCATTTTGCTTATTTCATATTATTTGTAAAGTGTGTCTGAATGTCTCTGTGGACCTTTCTCTAAGGCTAAGAACAAATGTACTGCCGAAGCATTTTAGAAAGATTTTCAATTTTTCAGAGACAGGCTTCATTTAGCCCCTTAATTACCACATCATAAAACCTAAACACGCACATATGAACTTGTTCATTTGTAGCTAAACTAACCTTTTCAACATTTCACACTTTAGTTTCGACATGATGTGATTTCAACTGTACAAAAGTAGCTCATCTCGGCCACACCTACTGACTACCAGTTATGCACAGCGTTCTAACTTTGACAGCTGTATTCTAAAACTAACATAGCTATCCTTATTAGCTAGGCTCCTTACATGCTTGCTGATAACTTTTTTGAAGGTGGGTCTCCGACATTGACAACATTGTGTTGGATAGATTTGTGCAGCGGTGTTTAGGAAACTAACTATTCAATTGACAGACAGGTCTGTTGTCAATGTGTTTGCGAGCAACAACTTCCTAAATATAGATTTAGGACACATACAAACACTGGTCATGTATCATGATAATTAACAGCATTAAATCCATTGATTAAAAATTAAGAGATCTTGCAGCTGACCTTTGTATTCATTTTGTTTTTACTTTCACTTTTTTTGTGCTTTTAAAATACTCATTCTGCTGTCTACTGGGTAGTCTATCATTTTAGTAGTCTGAAGCTTGAAACAATTTAGGAATTTCACTAAAACTCAGCCTTTGTATTTTGTTGAAAATAACTTCAATAAAAACTCAGGCTTTATATTTTCTTACAATAACAGATTATACCAAATAAAGACACTCTGTAATTAGTTTCTTCTCATAAGTATGATTAAATTTGCTTATTTTTTTTTTCTCACAAGTTGGAGTGTGATTATCGCTCCATGCTATCTAAGAGGGAACTTGTGTCATCATGTACAAGAGAACAGTGGACTCCTGTCGTTCCACACAGTACAAGTGTGGTCCCTTTTTCTGTAATTCAAATCAATAAATAAAATGCATTTCAAGTGTAGACTAAGCACTAGATATGATGACAAAATGTATTGACATTCAGTGGTTGTGAAAACTGGTCAGTTTGGTGTTTTAGGACTGAACAAGTTTAAAGCTGTAGTCAAAGTCTGATGTGAAATACTTTTTAACAATTAATTAAAACTGAATAGAAAGTATCTTACCTCTAATCATTTAATTCATAATTCAACTCTGGTTGTTTTTCTATTTTTGTTCCTTTTTTTTGGAATCTACAATTCATTTTACTCTCCAGGCCTTCAGTGTAGCCCTTTATTTTGATACATGTTGATCTTAAAACACAAGACATCCACTAAACCTCAGCCTTTATATTTTGTTTTAAAAGAATGTATAGAAAATAAAGAGACTATTTAGTTAGTTTATTTTGTCTCAAAAGTATGATTAAATTTGCTTATTTATTATTTTCACACAAGTTGGAGTGTGATTATCGCTCCATGCTATCTAAGAGGGAACTTGTGTCATCATGTACAAGAGAACAGTGGACTCCTGTCGTTCCACACAGTACAAGTGTGGTCCCTTTTTCTGTAATTCAAATCAATAAATGAAATGCATTTCAAGTGTAGACTACGCACATAGATATGATGACAAAATGTATTGACATTCAGTGGTTGTGAAAACTGGTCAGTTTGGTGTTTTAGGACTGAACAAGTTTAAAGCTGTAGTCAAAGTCTGATGTGAAATACTTTTTAACAATTAATTAAAACTGAATAGAAAGTATCTTACCTCTAATCATTTAATTCATAATTCAACTCTGGTTGTTTTTCTATTTTTGTTCCTTTTTTTTGGAATCTACAATTCATTTTACTCTCCAGGCCTTCAGTGTAGCCCTTTATTTTGATACATGTTGATCTTAAAACACAAGACATCCACTAAACCTCAGCCTTTATATTTTGTTTTAAAAGAATGTATAGAAAATAAAGAGACTATTTAGTTAGTTTATTTTGTCTCAAAAGTATGATTAAATTTGCTTATTTATTATTTTCACACAAGTTGGAGTGTGATTATCGCTCCATGCTATCTAAGAGGGAACTTGTGTCATCATGTACAAGAGAACAGTGGACTCCTGTCGTTCCACACAGTACAAGTGTGGTCCCTTTTTCTGTAATTCAAATCAATAAATAAAATGCATTTCAAGTGTAGACTAAGCACATAGATATGATGACAAAATGTATTGACATTCAGTGGTTGTGAAAACTGGTCAGTTTGGTGTTTTAGGACTGAACAAGTTTAAAGCTGTAGTCAAAGTCTGATGTGAAATACTTTTTAACAATTAATTAAAACTGAATAGAAAGTATCTTACCTCTAATCATTTAATTTATAATTCAACTCTGGTTGTTTTTCTATTTTTGTTCCTTTTTTTGGAATCTAAAATCCATTTTACTCTCCAGGCCTTCAGTGTAGCCCTTTATTTTAATACATGTTGATCTTAAAACACAAGACATCCACTAAACCTCAGCCTTTATATTTTGTTTTAAAAGAATGTATAGAAAATAAAGAGACTATTTAGTTAGTTTATTTTGTCTCAAAAGTATGATTAAATTTGCTTATTTATTATTTTCACACAAGTTGGAGTGTGATTATCGCTCCATGCTATCTAAGAGGGAACTTGTGTCATCATGTACAAGAGAACAGTGGACTCCTGTCGTTCCACACAGTACAAGTGTGGTCCCTTTTTCTGTAATTCAAATGCATATCTGTAAGTGTAGACTAAGCACACAAATATAATGAAAAAAAAAAGTATTTATGTCCAGTGCTTGTGAAAGCTGGCCAGGTTAGTATTTTGGGACAGAACAAGTTTAAAGCTCTAGATGTCAAATGTCAAATATTTTTTTATTAATTAATACATTCTTTTTATAATTAATTAAAACCGTAAAGAAAGTATCTTTATACTGACCATTTTATTTCTAATTCTACCCTGGTTGTTTTTCTATTTTTGTTCCGGTTTTTAGAATCTAAAATTCATTTTACTCTCCAGGCCTTCAGTGTAGCCCTGTATTTTAATACATGTTGATCTTAAAACACAAGACATCGACTAAAACTCAGCCTGTATATTTTGTTAGAAAAAATTAAGAAATTGTGTTTCAAGAGACAGCTTTCTTTACTGAGTAGCTTGTATAATAGCCCCTCTACAGTCTGATAGACTCCCTGGGGCTGCAAGCCATTCACTCTATAGGGGAGTGTTAAGAACGACGTGTGTGAATGAGTCGTTAAAATCTTTGCTTGATCCACTAGAGGCACTGCTGAGTATGGACTTAAACACTCACACACCTGCAGGTCCCCTCTTGACAATAGTTTAAAAAATTTACCAGATGGTTTTAGACATGATTTTAGCATGATTTAAAGCATGTCCAACAGGGGACCTAAAAAATGTCCCCTGTTCACTTTTTAGTCCCCTCTTAGTGGGTGTGTAACGACGTCGAGGTCCACTGTTAGATAGGTTGGTAAGTGCACACACACACACACACACACACACACTACACAGTCTGACACACTGGTGAGATAAATTCAAAACAATACTACAAAAACTGGTTATTAGTAATGTTGCTTGTGGTTCTCCCCCTCAGAAACCTTTTCACATGATGAACACAAAAGAAATAACAAATGTATACTTTTGCTCATTTACACACATTTTTCATTCCTTAGTGTACTGCACAGTGCAAATGTAGTAGGTTGGAAATGCTACATGTTTAGTTTTATGTAAACAGACACCCCCCATTTTTTTGTTATAATTGATCTATCCTAAAACACTAAGTCACAACATAAAGGTAATGCACTTACTCTTCAGTAGATGGAGCTCTGGTACCGCTGTGGATCAAGCAGGGAGGCTGCAGCTTAGAAATAAACGAGCTCTGGCTTGAGCAAGACGCTAACTTTGGTCCTCTCCCTGTTAATCCACAGGTACAGTAAAACTTTTTTTTCTGTATTTAGCTTGGATCAGTATGTAATGTGAATGCTGTATAAAATGTTGTAAGAGGATTTCAAGATGTGTGTAAAGTGCTTTGTTTTGTAGCTAACTGCTCTGACGAGCGTCGCCATGTTCAGTAGTTTTTTTTCATGAACTTCAGTCTCTCACGGTAGTTTTGTAAGTGTGAGTAACTAACATTAACATTCTGTAACAGACGAAAATGTGTTCTAGACATTGTTAAGAGTTTTAGCCAGCCGGTAGTGAGTAAATGGTCAGGGGAAAGATCCCATATTCAAACTAGTTCACCTCGCTGATCACACACGAGTGTGTCATGGTACCGCCATATTGTTGGAGAGAAAAAACTAAAATAAAAATTAATGCGGATGACAAAACAGATAAGAAAGGGGATACTTTTAACTTTACCTGTGTAGTTTCATACAGCAGTCTAGTGCCTCCGTGGGATATGAAAGCCTGTCTGCCTGCAGTACTGTGGGTGACCTTATGGAGGCAGTGCAGCAGGGCATGGCAGATTGCTATGGCAACATGTTGAGTATCCTTGCTGTGCCAATCCTCGTAAAGCTGCAAGAGGCCAGAGATGTAACCCTTAGATACCACCGAGCAAACGTTAGCCTCTGTGAGGGAGAGACACAGACAAACACAGGGAGGGAGGAAATGACATCAGTATCTTCCTCTCTTTGATCCTTCTTTTGTTGAAATCCACTTCAGTAATGGCAGACTGGACTGAATTTGGACTGAGCAAAAAAAAAATCAAACAATGTACATAAGTTGTAACGTGAGGTTATTAGTGTAACTGTAATTCTCAGCCACCATTAAATTAATGTTAGCAATGTTGTACTCCACAAAGACAGAGAGTCTTTGTGTGCAAAGTCCTTTTAACTTGGTACTGTTATCCAAGATAGATCACACACACACACCTCTGATCAATTTTTTCCTCTTTAAGAGTGGTGCCCTGAAGTGAATTTAACAAGTTAAATTCTATTATTAATCAATAATTGTCATTATTCTAATATTTCATAATTCATTTTGATGCCTGTTAAAACCCTGTGACTGATGGGCTGTTGGAAAGTGCAACATTCAGTAAAATCACCAGCTGCTAGTAGTGCTAACTGTGAAAGAGGATTCTCTGAAATGAACATCACTATGGCCTACAAATCAACAAGGTCTCAGCACTGATGTACATTTCTTTGGTTGAGCCTTGTTTTGATAAGTGGGATCCAGAAAGTTATGTCAAGTGTTAGCTGAGAGAAGGTCAGCTGGTCCCATAGCCTGTCCACAAAGAAATCAAGTCAGATATTTTATTTATTTATTGTCCTGGCCTACACTAAGATACTGATAATCTTCAATAATCATGAAAATCTTACACATCATGGTTGTGTTGTGTTTTCTGACCCTGGGTCACATTACACAACAATATACAGTAACAGAACATCTGTAGAGATTTGTGTTTCTATTCCCTTTGAAAGAAGCTGTCATGACTCTCAGCTCATCAGGATGTTTAGTTCCCTGCTTGTAAAGGGAGAATAGGAGTTGATTTGATTGGCTATAATTGACTTCAGCCCCACTCATCAACTGACAATTTATTCAACATCCATTCCTACTCCATATACAACTCCACTGTGGATTTCTGAATGACCTTGTGCTTTTGGTCAGATGTTATCAAAAACTGTGAGCAAACTCATGCTCATCCTCTGTAGTGTTGCTGTCTTCTGCATATATAGACTACCCAAGATACACAAAGAAGGAGCCTCACTCAGGCCTATTTTCAGCACCATTAACTCAGTCACGTACAACATTGCCAAACACATATCTACCATCTTAGCCCCTTTGGTTGGCTTCACATCCCACCACATCCAAAACCATTGACTTTGTAAACAAAGTCCGAGGACTGAAACTGGACCCAGATAAAACCTTTGTGTCCTATGATGTGACCTCTTTGTTCACCTGCATCCCCACCATGGAGGCAGTAGAATCCGTACGGAAATGTCTGCTACAAGACAACACCCTGGAAAGCAGAACCAGCCTCAGCCCTGACCAGATCTGTAAATTTCTCAACCTCTGTCTAAACACCACCTATTTCCAGAACAACGGAGGATTCTACAGACAGAAGCATGTCTGTGCCATGGGCTCACCCGTATCCCCGATTGTGGCAAACATCTACATGGAAGAAGTGGAGGGAAAAGCCCTCCTTCAGAGGAACAGCACCGAGCCACTGGGACAGGGATGTGGACGACACCTGGGTCAAAATAAAAACCCAGGAAGTGCAACATTTCTCAAAACCCAAAAATTAATAAGGTCCAAGCTTATCAATACTGCTATCGAGACTAGTGGATCTGTAAAATCTGATTTAGCTTGAAACGCAATGGATAGGAAAACTAATGTTTCTAATGATGGCACTGAAACGCAGTATCAAACAGGCCAAACTTGGGGCTTCAAAACAGCAGTCCACAAACCAACGGGTTGTCTCACGATGACTACGTCCACTTCTTATATACAGTCTATGGCTCCAAACTACTCAAGTTGCCGACAGCTACGCTTGTGCAATAAAACCTTTGTGAGTAAAAAGACAATACTTTATCACTACAGCTGTCTGTAAGGCAAACATGTAGAAAGGAGGAGGAAGGTCTGATACAGACTAATGTCTGAGTTTTTATTCTTTCTAAATGTCACTCACTGTTGTGATGTCACATATTGAGTTTATATATAGTGACTTTGCTGTTGTAAACATTAATGTCGCTGCTCTAGAAATTAAATTTTATATCATGTCATTTCAATATATACTGTAACAGTATCATCGCACATTGAATGTTTTCCTCATACCGTGCAGGCCTACCTCATGCCTGTTGGTCTTACCAAATAACCGTCACGAAATAATAGTAAAGTATCGATGATAAAGAATCGATCATTAAGCAGTCTCAATAAGGGTATCAATATCAATAAAAATTATAATCCCCATCCCTACTTATGTCTATGCAAGCTTAGTCATGCTTTTATGGATATAGAGGAAGATCTTCCTACCAGTGCGACTTTTTAATCACTGGGAAAATATGCATGCCCATTTACTAACATACAGTACACACACACACACTCTCACAGAAAGACACATTTGCTGTAATGATGGAGCTGTAGAAAAAGTGAAGAATTCATCAGCACTTATAACATGTATAGCACTAAACATGAATCAACCAGGAATTCAGAACAGGCACATTTTAATTGTCTAAAAGTTGTAACATAGGAAGTAGTAAAAGATTATGCGCTTATCTGACTCCCAAAACCACCAGGAGTCCAAGGTTATTATTAAGCATTATCTACTAATTTTTTAGATAATGCTTAATAATAACTTCAGAAAAGAAAAATGTTGTGCTCAAATATTTAAGGAATTAGTGATTACAGTATGTTAAAATCATTTTAAATTTGAACACATCCAAATAAGAATAAAACAAGTGTAAACACTGCTTCATACATCTTTAATTCATAAATGTGTTAAAAGCTGATGGGAGGGTAATCAGAATGCTTAGCTATTGTTCAAAGGTTTTCATTTGGTCCTGGAAAGCAAAGACAAACACTGCATAATAGTGGGTGAGATGTCAAACACAGACTAAGTGTTAGATTAAATACGCTCCCCGAGTCCTGGCATCAGGAGGGAAAATGCATTCAAAATATTGGTTGCCAGGAAGAAAAATACTTCATATCTCCAGATATGACTTCATATTAGCGTAATTGCTGCCTTTATGCTCACTCACAACATTTCATTATAGATCAAAGCGAACCACTGAGAGCAGGCTCATTTCGATGTTCTAGTTTATGAGCGAACGTGGTCCCCTTGATGTTCTGTGCAAATTGGCACATTGACATGGAGTGCAGCACAACATTGCATAAATCATGAAAAAGCTCAGAGGCCTCCAAATCTCTCGCTGCCTCTTGAGTTGTGACTCTCTAAACTGTCACCAAACAAAATGTGTCCACTAGTTCAGACAAGAGCATTAGAAATAAAAACAGCGTACACAACAAGAACAGAAAAAAAGTTTAGACAGAAAGAAAGAAGAAGGAAGCATCACTGTTTGATCTGGGTTTATCAGCATTTCCTCTGCTGCTGCTGACTTAGATCCAGTGCCAGGCCCATTTTTACTCTCACATATATCAACTGAATAGAATTTTTAGGGGAGATGTGAATGCATCAAGCACTCTGACTGGATATAATCAATTAAGGACTGTGTTTAAAGGATTTGTCTTGCAATAACAATATTTTCTGAGTGACAAAATAAACATATCCTGCTAACAACTATTGTGTGTATCCAAAGCCAGATAGATTGTATTCCTCTGTGCCATAGAGCTCCATTACAACACTATTTCACTGGGTGACATGTTCCTTCATTACCATGAACACCCACTCTGAAGTTTGTTTTGACTCAATCAGCACACAATGTTCTGGAGTCTCATTTATAAATAATGTGTAGGATCCTTACTAAAGTGTATGTGCACATAAAAGCCAAAAACAATCTGATTTATTAAACCGTGTGTATGCACACCTGTAGGCAATGGTCCCTTTATAATTCAAATGCATGAGGGCTCTCACAGACATTGTCGCAGGGAACAGTTCATAGTGTTGTGATGTTGATGAGCTGAGAAACTAGGGTGTATGGCAAAGTGTCAGAGAATAAAGGGAGACACGGATGATGATCATTTCATCGGTTTGCCTGGTTAATGTGAGTGAGGTGAAAAGGACTCAGTGATTCAGAAAGGCAAGCCATACTTTCCTGAATCCTGCCACCTGGCACGTCCTGGCATCATCTTAGCGTTTCACCACAAGTGTCACAAGCTACAGTCCAGCCCTCTCTGCTGCCTGTATCCGCTATCCACAGGCTGATGAAATATCTGATTTGAATTTTTAGTTAGCTTCTATCTTTAGTAGTTGAAAGGTGCACATAACTCTGATGATTGAATATTTCTGATAAAGTGTATCTATAAGTGATGTGATCAGGCATCAATATATCTATAAGGATTCCTCGCACTTCACCATGCGCATGGCCAAGTTCCCCAGGCTCCAGTTTGTGTTTGTGGTTTACTTACAGGTGCACAGGTTCACCCGTAAAGTTTGTTTTTATAGATCACAACTTTTGTGTCTGAAGTGGCGAAAGCCTCTTTCAGGTCTAGTTTTGTGTGTACCACTGATCAAAATGAAACCCAGGCTGCCCCAACTACTCACTGGAGCACATGTCAAATTATCTCCTGCTGAAAATAGTCAAATGCAATATTTGTCCCTATTTGAGTAATGTTTGAGAAAAACTATAGTGACCAGCTGTTTTAGAAAATTACTGAGCCTTTTTCTAATGAAACTACAAAATGTGTAAGGTGTTGGTGTCTTCAGTAGAGACCAAGGGACAAAGGTGAGGGCCACAGACAAGTAGGCAAGTTGGAAAGAATTCAGAGATGCACATTATTGGTTCTTGGGTCTTGATTTTTTGACAGTAACAATACAATATACAAAAACTGCAGACCAGTGCTTACATTCCAGGCACATGGGAAAAGCTGTCCTTTAAAAGACACAACTTGGAAGTGTTCACATAACCTCCAGTAACTCTGTTGAAATCCTCAAGATGTCGTAGAAAATGGGATTAAAAACAGAATGTGGTGTGTTCATGTATAGTCTAGAAGAAAAAAAAAACATTTCCTTTATTCAGAATGTCTCACACACTGAATGAGTATGTGTGTGAAAAAGAATAACAGAGGCGCTCAGCCACAGGACTGGAAACAAAGTGCAAAAGTGACCCCCACAGGAAAGATTAATGCATTACAACACATCAGTTCTACATAACAAGTCAAGAGAAGAGAAGAGGTCCTTTTATTGGACCATTGCAAGGAAAAAACAGATCACTGTCTCAGAATCACAAAAAAACATTTTTCTAAAGTAGTAGTAAGTTTTACGTATTCCTAAAATACAACAAAAACTGTTAACCAAACACAGAAAGGTGTTTCTCTGATCAGATGTTTACAATCAGAAGTGCCCTCCGCACAGCCGGGAGTCTGGGCCCGGTCCTACACATCAGCCAGAAGTTCAACTTGTCAGAACCAGATAAAAAGTTCACCAATTTGTATAGAATCTTCTTAGCACCGTATTTCAGGCCTAAAGTAAACAAATTCAACCAGTGCGACAGCCGGGGACACTGAACAAATAACCAGGGTCTCAATCTGAGAGCAGAACATACACTCCTCCCCCAGCTCTCTGCTCTGTACCTGTTTGTAGCTATTTCCCCACGTCCAACCCTCCACTGGAGGTCGGCCGTCCTCTTGTCAATGGGCAGCTTGTACAGGGACCACCTTTCACGGAAACGTCTGGGCAAAAAAACTCAGTCCACCTGGCCTCCGTCACCTCTGCCAAAGAGCGCAGGTTCAAACCTCAATGCAGATTTGGTCGACAGCTTGTTCCCCCTGCAGCCTGGAACTTCTCCAGGTGGGGGTTTGTAAAAGATAGCAGCTGACCTCCTGCTTCCTGCCACTCCCACACAGCTGGGGTGATAGACAGGGAGGGGAAAATGTACTCACACTCCTCACTCCACTGGTCACACAGTATGGTTTTCTGTGTTTACTATTAGGGTTCGGTTGATCAGCCGGATAGAGGTGATCATGGTGTCCACCGGTGTGGCCCTCATCTTCATCAGATGGCCCAGTTTGGTGCAGCCAGCCTATCTGAGATTAACTCGCAGACAGCAGTGTCTTTATGATAATAAAAAAAACTTCCTTAAACAAAACCATGCCTGTGATCTCGTTTATAGCATGTGGGAACTTAAAAATATGCCATGCCTACAGTACAGAGCTGTAAAAAAGTGTTAGTCCACTAAAGTCCATGTCCTCTGGTTGTAAGAGGAAAGGCTGTTTATCATAGCCTAATCGCCCAGCTCTCAAACCAGGACAGGTCGCAGTTATACAGCAGTCCTTGTGCAGGCCGGAGTCTATATGCTGCTTTGTTCATTCTTGATGAAAAAGAAAGGTTTTTGTGTCCTACCTGCTCACCAACAGAACCTCCTCCACACTAATGTTACTATCCAGTTGGACTATCCTTACTGCCTGCCGGACGGACGGAGGTGGCTTTTCCACAATCAAAAACCTCCCAAAAAACACCTGGCCAAACCACTCAACCCCCGGCCAACACTCGCTAGAAGTTTTACAGTTACCTACTGTAATCATGCACATATAGTACAGATGGAGAAAACAGAGAGAAATCCAAAAAACAGGGGCAGAAAACAAATCAAAACTCTACATCTGCCACTCACGCTCAACAGAAATGGAAAAGTCTGTCCACCGCTCCGGCCCAGACAGATACATCTCAACAAGTGAGGAACCGTGGAAAGTGTGCCAACTAAATGCACATGATTTTTTACACTCAGTTTGCAATTCAGTAACACACTTCTAGCAAAACTGTACTGCTGAAACAATACTGGTACTGGTTCAGTAATATGCACTATAAAGTCTGTTCCAAAATAATTGGACTTCCGGTCAGAGACTGTAGAGTACTGTTCAGCTAAGAGCACAAACCCACTTTGTAAATATGGTTACTCCAAATAACTTCATCACAGTGAGTCTCCCTGCTTTGGACGAAGCAGCTGTACAGAGTTTCAAAATAAATTCAGATTGTGTACAAAAACTGAGGAATACACATTCATACTCTACAAATTTGGGCGTGTGTGAGTTTTACTGTATTGCATAAATGACAAAACTTTTCAACTATTGCAAACTACTCTGCCCTGCACACAGAAAAGTGTTTTTTATTTATACTGTCAGTGCGTATCAGCTGCTGCTCGTACTCATTCAAAGACATTTGTGTGTAGGGGAGAGGGGTGTGGTTGGAACACATGTGTTTACTCCAAATGGCCCCAATTGAATCCTCTACAAGAACATCACAGACCTCATGACTACCGGGGTAGGTTGTAACACATGCTGGGCTAAGTTTTAAGACAAAACATGCAAAAATCGATGCCACACCATTTGATGTGCTTCAAAATCAGGTACAGTAAAATAAAACAATGTTTTCTCTCTATCTGTAACAGTATGATAAACTCGCTTGTGTGTGTCGCTTGTGTGTGTGTGTGTGTGTGTCAGTGTGTCTACATTCTTAATCAGAGTCACAGTCAGTGCGTGAAGTCGGTCGGTACCGGCACTTCCACATTTTACTGTTTTGCGTACCAGGACTTTTTCTTGCATGCCGGCACTTTTCAAAAGCTGCCGGTACTCTTTTCTGCCCTCTCTACCAGCAGAGACTGAGTAGTGAAGAGATGTGATGCCGACATGTGAACAACATATGAAGGAGGAGTACTGGTCACAGTTCTGACAAATTAATGCTGGTAACCCTGGAGAGGATGGGTTGCAACACTTTTAAAAGAAGTGGGGTGGCAATCGCAAAGTGGATAAGACACATGCATTTGGTGTGGGAGACCTGGGTTTGATTCCCACTGTGACATCTACCAATGTGTCCCTGAGTAAGTCACTTAACCCCCTTAACCCCCTAAAAAGGTCACCTACAGGACTAATAATTATATTATGATTATTGTTATATTACAACCCACCCCACACCGGTCAGCCATTGTTCGGCTAGCTGTAGTGGTTATAAACAGCAGGGGAAAATGCATTGTGTCTTGCCTAAGATCTATATAATCTAATAAATCAAACAATTTTATCTGCAATAGTCTTGGTCAAAAAAATTACTTTTTTACCTGAAAATCAAGTTTTTTTCCTGTATATATTCTGAATGTGCCTCTACAGCCTACAGCCATGCCTGATCAGGGAGGAAGTAGGTAAATACTGACTCCAATCTTATCTGTAATTGATGGAATTGGTTTTGTTACAGCTCTCCCCAAGTTACAACCATACCCGGCCTCCCCTACCGTAATGATGCAAAAACACTAGTTTTAGAAGAGTTTAAAGAGTTTTGCAAGAATTGTTTGCTTTTGCCAGATATGTGCTTTTTTTGGTGTAAGGTTCTTTGATTAGTGTGTATAGTGTGATTAGTGTGTTTTACAAAAATAGCCAATAGTTTCAAATATTTTAAGCAATCAGAAAAATGTGTTTGATGCTTTGGTTTATGACCAAATACTTGCAGAACTAATGACATTCCCAATCTAGAGGAAATGTATTTTCCTATTTAAGTCCACTGTAGTCCTTTCACAGTATATTATAAATAAGTGAGATGCCACGCTATCCCACCATCAGCACTTATCCATGGAATAAGAGAATTACATAATTAAACTAGAAAATGGCCCAAGAATCACAAGTATTGTCAGTGTGCCCCCGAAGAAGAGGCACACTGACAATGTTGTGCAGTAATGATGATGATGGTGATGAGACCATGCTGGTGAATGATGGATGAGGTCATGAAAAACTTACTTGTGCACAGCAGAGCAGCAAAGGCATTAATGGCTGCCCTGGAAAAGAAACAGAGTGAGCAGTTAGTTTCTTGAACATTTTAATTAACACGCTCTTTAATTTGATGCAAACACAGTGTGTATATGGTACACTAGTGTGACAAATGAGTGTGTGTTTGTGTGTGTATGTGTGTGGGGGCGGGGTGTTTGTATGTCATATAGTCAGTTAAATGTGTGGATTTTCTGTAGTTGTCAGCTTTGGCTTTGAGTCATTAGCATATTCTTTGATATAATATGAAAATTCAAGAAAATCAATCTCTTGTCCATCTTATGAAATGTCAAGTGTTAAACTGTATTTGACATATTTTACTGTTATCAAACTGTATTTGATATCATATTGTTTGATATTTATTTTTAAAAATCTGTGTAAGAATCTTGTTCTAGACTTTTATTACTTAAAATGACTCATCCCTTCTTTCAACATCCCCTACTTTGTCCCTTTTCCCTTCTTTTTCTTTGTTTGCCCCTCCATCACTTCCCTGCCTCCTTCTCCTCCCCTTACCATTCTCCCCCCCCCCCTCTTCATGGCTTGTTGTCTTCTGTCCTTTCCTCCTCTGTCCTTTCCTCCTCTCCTCCTCCATCCCTGTCTTCTTCCCATCACCCTTATGTGTTTCTTCCACAGGGACCACAACATGTGACTTGACTCCACACTTCACATGGGTGGTGATAGATAGACAGCCCATAGTGTTGGCCTTGCATGATATGTGTGGTGGTGGTTTGGGAACTCGAGAAGCTGTATTATTGATGTTCTTGTTGGTTGGGGGGGGGGGGGTGCATACTGAGATGAAGAATGTAGCACTGTCCAGTGTAGTATTACTAGCAGCAAGTAAACCAGGGTGTCACTAACAGGGGGTCCACAGGGTGACGAGAGGTCACAACCTCAGGAGGTATTGAGAGCCACAAGGGTTCATGCAATGTTTACTGAAGATGGGAAATACTACACTCTTTAACAGGATGTGCCATATTTATAGACATATTCAGAGGGACAACACATATAGGTGTGTCATTTATCATTTCTGTGCATTTTACAACTAAGGGAGATAAAATAAGATAAAACTAATTAATAGTTTTCCAAATCTCAGTGCTCACAAGCAGTATAATCCATGAGATGTATGTAAAATATCAGAAATAATTTATCATTGGTCCTTTTGGTTGGGTTAGAAGAGAGATGGACCAGACTTTGCTGGAATTAAAACCTTCAAATAAAATATATTTGATGTTGGAGTCAGCCAGCGGGAAGATGATAGTGTCAGGATAAGGTTGCCCTATTTACTGGGAGCACATCAAGGATTTACCTGGATTCCCTGAAGAAAGGTGCACACTACACACAATCAGCTGTGCCATAATTATTTGAGATGGAGAGAGTTGGGGTACATGGAGTTTACTTGTTAACTGAATAGGCAGGCATGTAGTGACTGAACAAGTGTATACACCCAGCCTTAAGCAGATGCATTTAAAACTGCACATCCTCTGTAAATCCTTCTTCTGTTTCTAAGACACTTGAACATGTTGTTTTTGTCTGCTTATCTCCTCCAGAGCAACCTCCTTCACGTAGTCTGGATTCAAGGCAGGTCCCTTAACTGAGACGCTCCTAGAGCAAACTCCCTCTCCTCTATCCTCAAACAAGGTTTGCTACCCTTTTGTTTTTCATCAGAAATACAGTCATTGGAAAAAAAGGACAGGGTTTTTGGATTAAAGAGCAGCGGACCTTAGAATCCACCCAGGCAGATCCCCATACCAGGCACGACAACAGGTGCTGTGACCACTCAGAGGACAGGAAAGAGAGCAGGGATAGCAGCCATGTTGGCCCAGCTTGGACTTAGGTGTAATTTATACTTTTGCGTCAAATCAACGGCGTAGGTGATGGTGTAGGTTACGGAGCAGAGGTTATGTCGTCGCCGGACGTGCACCTCCTCAAAAATGTAACTACACGTCGAGTCGACGTGGACCGTAAGCTCTGTGATTGGTCGGCTGTTGGCCTCGCAACGCCTCCGAGCCGACCGGAAGTACCCCGTGCTTTGAAGTAACATTTGCTAGCGGCCAAAACGGCGGCTGTAACACGGTGGATCAATATATTTGGCCGTCGCAACCTGAGCGAAATGACTCGTTTCACTATCAGAATGTGATCCATTCAGTCGATAACATTTGAAAAGGCTACACCAGCCGCACGTTTAGCGGAGCGCTAAACCGGAAGTTAGCCTGCTCGGCCGGTAAAAGTCGACACAGTGGACGCTAGGGCTGGGTGGTATTTCGGTATATAATGTATACCGATAATGTATAATAATGTAATAATAATGTATAATGTATACCGATAATTTTGTAAGAGATATGACATAATACCGTTTATATCAATATAGTTTGATGTTGAGTTAATTTCCGTAAAGTCCTGCCAGCGTTTGCTCTTCTCTCTCCCCCACCGTGCAGCCCCACACCTCCCTCTGCGTCTGCACGCAGTCGTCTACTCACAAACTCTCAGCAACATGGAGGGAGACACAGTGCTGGTCGACACTGTTAAAGACCTGGCTTGCAAAAAGAAAAGCACGGTTCATTCAGTGTTTCCCACACATACACTTTACTTCGGCGGGCCGTGCAGGTTAGGCGACACACTGTTGCATTTATCAGAGAAACACAGTGATTACGTTACAATTCGCGACACTGTGGATATTTAATTAATAAATTTATATAAGAGCGGACCAGGTAACACACCAGTCAGATGTCATTCGTTAGCTACCACGTTGGTTTTGTTTTGATAGGCTATGTCATCAATACGTCCTCACAACATTCAGCTCAGCTGCTGCTGTGAACGGAATCACTGGAGGAAAAGAAGACAAGTTCTGTTTCTTTTTGGTGACTTTAAATAGCCTAGCCTACTACTGATGGAGAAAGTTACCGAAGCGGACAAACAGGGAGAGAGAGAGGGTAAAGCACCTTTTCCACTGCACGGTACCAGCTCGCCTCTAATCGTCTTTTTTTGGTTTTCCATTTTGTAAAAGTTGTACTTGTACCTGCTACCGGGTACTTTTTTCGTATCACCTCCGTCTTATCTGTCTTTACATTCTGAGTAATGTTGAAACGTTTTAACTTATATCAAGAGACAGCTGTTTGTGTGTGTCGCATTGAACATTACGTCGCGGCAGTTGTGTGTGCCATCGCTATGACGACCATCTAGATTGAGGGGTGCTATCTCTGGGTACTATCTGCAATGGAAAACGGAGGACGGCCAAACTGAGTTGAGTCAAGGCGAGTTGAGCTAGTTCTGGTAATGGAAAAACGGCAGAAGAAGCGGGAAACGCTGACGTGTTTGCGGCAGAGACGTTAGGTCTGTGAGTGGGAAGAGAACTGAAGGAGGCAAATTCAATAAGTGAGTGATACTTATGATGTAGGATGAAGTATAAGTAAAACGGTGAAATAAGAAACAAGCTAAGTTACTAAAAGTAGTAAAAACATGCCCGCTAAAACCAAGACCTTCGTATCAACATACCGGATCAAGCACTGTTTACATCGATGATGCTTGGTGCTCAAACACAGTCAAGATGGACACTGTTTCCCAAATGTCAGGAATGTAGATGAAAACCACATTTTCATCTTATTGTTGCCTTTTTCATTCACCCAACATGCAAATTCAAGAAACGCACTGCATGATGTTGAATGGGTATGCATTTATGTACAAATGTATATTGTATATAAATAACTGTATATATTGTTTTACTGTTTTACATGTTACCATATTTTAATATACATTTCACAAAATATACATATGTTATGTGTGTGTAGCATAAAGGGACTACAAACATTAGTTCGTTTTACCACCTTGTGTTGTATAATGATAAATAAACTACCTGTCGACTACGACTGTCCCCTTGACAAAAGCGATTTTAACCATTTGAGATTAATGCAGTCAAACACCAATGTTATTTTTTATTTTTGTAAAGCAGGTCAGATATCATATTGTGTTCAGAAGTTGTCACATGACATATTGTGCATCCAGCTGCTGCTGTTATCACATGGTGCATCAAAGCACTGGATCAAAATCAACAGTAGTGAAATTCTCCTTCACACCAGTAGTAACTAATCATACACTATACAGGAATGTTCCCCCACCTTATCTTCAGCTGTATTTTTACTGGCACCTGCCATGCTTTTGAGGTAAATAGGTCTACATTCCAGTGGGGCACTTTAAAATAGAAGTGCTGAGCAACTGACTGTTGTGAAATGTGAAGAGACATACTATATAACAGATGATTTATTGCTGGATGCAGTGATGTTTGGATATGGTGTTGGATTGTGGTTGGCTGGCAGCCACATGGCTGGAGTTTCCCCTCATAGAGTTCACTATACCTGCTGGGCCAGATGGACTGGCTTCTGCGCATCATGATCAACAGGGAAACAGAATTTGTTAGGGGAAAGAATATTTAGAGATGACGATTAAATTGTTAAGGATGTGATTTAGGCTGACATTATTAAAGGTGTGCATGTGGTCAACATTTTGCATTGTGCTGTAAATGATAAAATGGCCTGCAAATGGAAAGGTAACTGGTGAACCATAAGGTCAATCAAAATCAAAATAGTGGGAACAATAGCACACTTTTTGAGTGCAATGTTTGAGTTTTAATGCATTGTGGGTGAGTCAGCACAGGGGAAATGAAGAGTTTATGCATCCTTGCATTACAAACTATTCATGAATCCAAACCTGTCAGGAAAGTCATTCAAAGTAAAATATTTCCTTTGTGGCCGACAGTAACTGGGACAATCTAAAGGGCTTAGTAAGTGTGGTGCCTAGCAGTCTTAACAGACAGAAGTGAGGGATGAACTGCTGCTGACAGTTGAGAATAGATGGACAGATTTAGTTGTACAGCTTTGGACAGTCTGACTGACTTTACTGCTTTAAAAGTGTGGACGGCAGCCAACCGGCATATCTAACGGTCGCCATATCACAGCTATAATTGAATAAATCACTGTGACAGACATGTCTAACTGACTCTCACACTTAAGGGAAATAG